AGAGCGCAGGCTCAGTAGTTGTGGCACAGCGGGCTTAGTTGCTCCGTGACATGTGGGATCTTCCCGGACCAGGGATGGAACCCGTGTCCCCTGCATTAGCAGGCAGATTCTCAACCACTGAGTCACCAGGGAAGTCCAAAGCCTGCTCAACTCTTAACTCATCCATTCCCTTTCTGTCTGGCCACTTTCTGCTCCTTGAGGGAAGCATCATATTGAGACCCTGGGTGGAGGCAGCCCTGGGCAGGTTTGAATGAGAAGGAAGTGGCACATGGCATGAGACTCATTCACTCCTGTTTGGCAGACCCTGGGAAGCTGGCCCTGCTCCCGGGGCTGACTGTGGAAGTACAAAAATAATGCCTAAGTGGCATTTACTCTGTATCAGGAACTGTTCCAAGCATTTTAGATATAATAACGTTCTTAATCTTCACGATAATTTTGTGAAATAGGTATTGTTATTATTCCCGTTTTATAAATGAAGAAACTAAGGCTCCGAAAGGAAAATTGCCCCAGGAGGGGATTACTGAAGAGCATGAATACCAGGAGACAGCAATCATTGGGAGCCATTTTAGAGGCTGCCTGCCATTGTCACATAGTAAGTGCTAAAACAGGGGTTTACACCCGGAAGTCTAATTCCAGAGACCATGCTCCTAACCTTAAAACTATATGGCCTTTTTGTTTAACAAGGTGGTGATTGAATCCCTACTGTGTGCATAGCCCTGTGCTAGGCACTGGGAGTACAGAGGTGAAACTGATTCCATGTCCAAGCTCATTTATTATTCTATATCAGGATTTCCAATTAATTGGGCATCAATTGGGTGGCAGGATTCTTTGTCAAAGAGCTGGGGCACAGGGCCAGGCTCCAGGCAGAGATAAGAGACTAGAAACTCTCATAGAGAAATGGTATAATGCGGGTGGAATGAGAAGAGATGAGAACTGCTGGCAGTGCAGTTGCTCAGAGATCCTGCTTGGGCCTTTAGATCACTAGTCTGGACAGGTGGCTTAATTCTAAACCCTACAGGACAAGATTTAAGGTCTGAGCCTGTAGATTGGAGGGAGGAGTCTCATCTGTTATGCTGGCTCTGAGGAGCTCAGGAAGCAGAGGTAAGAGTGTGGGAGGGGAGGATCAAATTCTGCTGCAGTGTTTCATAAGCACACACACACACACACACACACACACAGAGCTTTTGTGAGATATGGCAGACAGTGAATATTTCTCTAATATTAGTGCCTAAGATTCCTGTGTTAGATGTTTACTCACTCTCACTCACTCACTCACTCAATCTATCTCTTCATTCATTCTTTAATTCATTCATCCACTCACCCATTCATGAGCTGGATAAAATTCTGTTTGAGAAGTACTGTATGTGGTCAGAAGGAAATACTCTGATAGGCTGCTTGAGGTAAAGAGTAAGACACCCAAAAACCAGCTCAACAAACACAAGATGGTGATTCCTATGCTCTCCAAGGATGGTGGGTGTGTTAAATGCAGATTTTGTTTGGCTGAGTAATGTGCAAGTCTGGGTCAGAGCTGAATTGCTCAGGACATGAAGAAACTGAGCCCTGCCAGAAACAAAACCCATCTGTCATCATGCCCTGTAATTCACCTCTTAAATACCTCTTGAGTCTATTTCTACTCCATCCTCATTGCTACCACTCTAGTTCAAATCTGTCTTAGGTCGCACCTGAACCACTGCAAAGATCTAACCAACCAGCTTTCCTGCCTCCCATCTCTACTTCCTCCAGTTCATTCTCCACATCAGAGTCAGAGTGATCTTTCTAAAGTTCAGATCCAATCATGTTAATCTCCTGTCTCAAAATCTTTGATCCTAAAAAGATCAAGTTCAAACTCCGTAGCACGGCATTCAAAGCTCTTTCTAGCTTCATCTCCTACTCATTTCCCGCCGTTCCTTACGTTCTTCTGGAGTAGTCACTGGAAAAAAATTTTCCTTCTGCCAAAATACCTTTCCTTCACTTCTCTGCTTGGAAAATTCTTCTTTCGGAAAATCCCTGTTGTCTCCTTCTGTTACCAAGTAAGCACATCTGTAGGTAATGCTCCTGGGCTTGGTACATGGGAGTGGCTATGCCATCTACCACATTTCCCATTCTCCTCCTGGGCATATTATAGGACTGTGCTTTCTTGGGTATGGGCATGTGACTTGCTTTGGCCAGTGAATGGGAAAAGTGGAAGAGGCAACACATGACTCATACACTTTCTTTCCCTCTCATAGCCAGCCTGTCACTCTTTTTTTTTTTTTTTTTCGGTACGTGGGCCTCTCACTGTTGTGGCCTCTACTGTCGCGGAGCACAGGCTCTGGACGCACAGACTCCGTGGCCATGGCTCACGGGCCCAGCCGCTCCATGGCATGTGGGATCTTCCCAGACTGGGGCACTATCCTGTGTCCCCTGCATTGGCAGGCGGACTCTCAACCACTGCGCCACCAGGGAAGCCCCACCCTGTCACTCTTTATCCTGGAATGAGGAAGACAAAAAGCAGAGCACCCAGCCAACCCTTGATGGATATGTAAAAATAGTGAAAAATAAAACCTTGTTTTTGAAGCTGTTGAGATTTTGAGATTGCATATTATTGAATAACCCAGTCTACCCTAACTGGTACACTATCTCTGCTTTGACATATTCCATAACTACCTAAAACCACCATGTTTCTACCTTATCTGACTTGTGTGACACATTTTCTTTATGCCACATACCTGGTACTGATGACATACTGCCACATATTGCTATTATGCGTTCAGTGGTATGTCTTAGCCATCTCTTTACTTTTACTGAGGCTTCCTTAGGGCAAGGATGGTCCTTGTTCCATTTCTGTGTCACACAAAGTATGGTTCATAGCCAAGGTAATATACTGTAATGGGTGTAGGAGTCAGACATACTTGTTTTGAATCCCAATTCTTACATTTGATGGGCAATCTCTCTGAACTTCAGTTTTCTCATCTGTAAAATAGGAGTAATGATATGTACCCTATAGGGTTTTTCTAAAGTTTGTGGATAACAGGTGCAACATATGTACAATTAATGGCAGGGTATAATTCTTATTGTTCTCATTATTTTTTTTAACCATTTATTTATTTATTTAGGCTGTGCTGGGTCTTAGTTGTGGCATGCAGGCTTCTTATTTTTTTATTTTTATTTTTTTAATTAATTAATTTATTTTTGGCTGCTTTGGGTCTTTGTTGCTGCGCATGGGCTTTCTCTAGTTGCGGTGAGCTGGGGCTACTCTTCTTTGTGGTGCATGGGCTTCTCATTGAGGTGGCTTCTGTTGTTGCAGAGCACAGGCTCTAGGTGCACAGGCTTCAGTAGTTGTGGCACGCGGGCTCAGTAGCTGTGGCTCACAGGCTCTAGAGCGCAGGCTCAGTAGTTGTGGCGCACGGGCTTTGTTGCTTCGCGGCATGTGGGATCTTCCTGGACCAGGGCTCAAACCCATGTCCCCTGCATTGGCAGGCGGATTCTTAACTACTGTGCCACTAGGGAAGTCCAGCATGCAGGCTTCTTAGTTGTGGCGTGCAGATATCTTAGTTGTGGCGTGCAGACTTCTTAGTTGCAGCGCGTGACTCTTAGTTGCAGCATGTGGACTTCTTAGTTGCAGCATGCATGTGGGATCTAGTTCCCCGACCAGGGATGTACCCAGGCCCCCTGCATTGAGAGCATGGAACCTTACCCACTGGATCACCAGGGAAGTCCCTATTTGTTTTTATTATCATTATGGATAGTGTTCAGTAAATGCCTGTGGATAAATCTTTCATTGATTGAGGTATAATGGTATGTGCATTGGACTTGGAATCAGAAGTCCTAGATTTAAGGCATAGCTTTTGTCACCAGCATTGTGGCCTTGGAAAAATCACTTACCCTCTCTGCATTTTTGCATTCTCAACTACAAAATGTAAATACTGATCCCTACCTCATAGAGATTATCATAAAATTTAAATAAGATAATATATGAGGAAATGTTTTATACGTGCTCAAGTATCACACATCTAAAACTAATGATTCAGAGAAGACCGGCTGGTCCCTCACATAAGGACCGTGTGGACATTGTGAAGCATCCCAGTGTACTCCAGTAACACTTTGTTGTGGGGCTTGGCTTATCTTTCTTACATGTTTGTCTTTCCAACTAGACTGTGAGCTGCTTGAGATAAAGAATTGTCTTTGTATTTTTTTTAGTAAAAATGTTTATTTGTTTCTCCTTATATAAGTAATACATGCTTAGCATAGAGAAAATAAAAATAGCTGAAGAAAATGAAAATCCTAGTAATTCTTATCTTTCATACAGAGATAATCACTATTAACCTTTTGATGTGTTTCTTTCCAGTTTTCTTCTCTGTATATGTAGTTATGAAACTGACATTATATTGCACATGCAAGAATTGTTCCATTAGAATAAATATTCTTATATAAATAAACACATTAAAAATCTTGTATTTTAACCATTCTCCTATTGTTGAATATATAGGTTGATGTCAGTTTTTCAATGTCTAAATAAAGTTTAAAGAAGCATTTTTGTGCATAAATATTTGTCTGATATTCTATTTTTGTAGAAAAAGTTTTTAGAAGGAAAAATTTCTAGTTCAAAGGGTACAACTATTTTTAATGCTCTTGGGACTTCCAAATTGATTACCAGAAAGATTGAACCAAGTGTCACTCCCACAAGCAAGGTATGAGGTTATACATCTCACTACATCCTCAACTATAATGGGAATTATAATTAAAAATAAGGTTAAAACCTATTAATATAATAATTATCCATTTACATTTCTTCTGTGAATTGTTCTTTACTCCTGCTCATTTTTCTATTGGGATTTTAATTATCTTCTTATTAATTTCTATGAGGTTTCAAAAACCATTTTATTCTAGTCACCAAGTACAATAAAAGATACATAATAGGTGCTCCTTAAATATACTTTGGATGATTTTAATTGTCCTGGGGACTCTTTAGAAACAAAGCAGACTTTCTAGGAGGCTGACTCTTTCCTTTTCCCACCCAGGACACGGCTGGGCAGGAGCGGTACCGGACCATCACCACAGCTTATTACCGTGGAGCCATGGGCTTCATCCTGATGTATGATGTCACCAATGAGGAATCCTTCAATGCTGTCCAAGACTGGTATGAGATTCGTTCCTTCACCCACTCATCAAACTGTTCATGAAAACCTAGTATGTACTAGGCTCTGTGCTATGTGCTAGGGAAACTCGAATGAATCAGACATGGCTCCTGTCCTCAAAAAGTTCACAGATGAGAGGAGAGGACAGATCAGTGAGCAGGCAATGAAAATATCATGTGACAGGTGCAGTGATGAGAGTGGCACCAGGGCTGTGGGAACCCAGCAGAGGGCTCTGACCCAGCCTGGGGAGTCAGTGAAGTTGTCCTGGAATTGCTGACACATATGCTGCATTTTGAAAGATGAACAGGAGTTAGCCAGAGGGACAGATGGGTAAGAATGTTCCAGCAAAAGAGTACAGATGTGCAAAGACAAGAAGGTAGGTGAGAGGGTAAGAAGAGCAGAGGTCATGAAGGATTTTGTGTGCTGGGGTGAGGGATTTGGATTTTATCTGGTAGGTGAGGACATTTGAACAGGGAAACAACAGGTTCAAATTAGTGTCTTAGAGAGATCATTCTGGACATAGTGCTAAGTGAATCACATATTGCTTCCCTATAAAGTTTATCCCTGGGCCGGGGGTCCAAGTTCATAAAGATTCAATATCTTGATACGATAGAAATCGGCCCAGTTCCCCAGAGGTATAACCTCTGAGCAACTTACATCTTTCTTCCTGGAGCATTACTCACAGGGAGAAGGGAGCACGAGAGGAAGGGCATGTGAGATGGAGGGCCAGGACCCGGTGGCCCTAGTCAGTGGAAAGGATGGGGAAGATGGGGCGTGTGTGCCTGGCTCTTCTTCACAATCAGAGAGGCTGAGTAGGCTGGGCACACAGCAGCAGAGCTGGCCAGTGCCAAGCTTGTCTCCTGCTCTTCTTTGCCCAACAGCTACCCTTTGAAGACTTCCTGTCTCCCAAGGAACAGTTGTCATGACTATGTGCAGCACTGTTGGTGCCTTGGAGCCTTGAGCTGGGAGTGACCTTGCAGGCTGCTTGCCACGTTCTCCCCGCCCACCCCCTGAGTTCTGAGCATCAGTCTAGGGTGCCACCCGCATGCCTGTCACTCATGTGTGGTCCTTCTTAGTCTGTTGGTCATCCCCTTCTTCCTCCTTTCTCCCCCTTTCCTTTAAACAAGTCCTTCTCTCCACCTTCCTTTTTTCTCCTTTCCTCCCTCTTTTTTCCCTTCCTCTCTCCTTATGCCTCTTTTTTCTCCTGCTTTTTTCCTTTCTTATTCCCTCTCTTCCCTCCTCCAGTTATGATTTTTCTCTTCTCCTCTTTCTCCCATGTCTCCGTCTTTCCCCCCCACCTCTCACCACGAAGTGATTAGCTCTTTCTTTAAGTATCCCCACACTGCCCATTCCCTGTCGGCCTTGACCTCCTTCCCTCTCTCCATCAGTTGCTGTTCATTCTGCCTCAGGCCCGCAGTGACATTAACACCTGGTGAAGATTCCTCCAAGAATAACCTAAGTTGCTAATCTGGGAGCTGAGCCTGGATAGTGGTGGGAGGAGGGAGGAAGATGACAGAAGAGTGGCATGGGAGACTTGGGGAGTTGGCTCCAGGTGCCTGTCTTGAAGCTGAAGACTGAATGTCTATCTTTCCCAAGCTCTGGCCTTTAGTTTTGCCTCTGGGAAACTTGGTCCCAGACTAGCACCCACCTGCCATCTAAGCCCCAGTACCCAGCACAGAACCTGGCTCTCTGTCGGTTCACCACAAATGGTGGTTGAGTAAATTCCAGCCTTTGAGGGAGTGGCTTTTCACCCTTAAAGAGAAGATTGGTGGTGAGATGAGCTTTAGGAGCAGGGTTGGCAATCGGTCCAGGTTGCAGTTAGGGTTAAGTTAGATTGTCAGTGTCAGGATAGGGTCAGATTTTATTTAGATCTGCTTCAGGATCAACCATTTGCTGGCTTCTTCCTTCATCAGACAATCAATGACTTCTTTTCTCTGTGCTCTATGCTGGGGGCTGGTACCCCAAAGATGAATAAGCCTGTCCCTGCCCTGAAGGAGAGACAGATAAATTCAGCCAAATATGACAGGCGCCACAAAAAAGAGTAGGGGAACAAAAGGGGAGGTAATTGTTTCTACCTGATGAGGTATTTGGGGACAGAGTTAGGCCAACTACACAAAAAGATGTCTCCTCAATAAAAAGGTCTGATTTTATTTCCTCTGTTTAAAAGTTTGTTTCTCATTATAAAAGTAATACATGCTCACTTTCAAAATTTTGAAAAGTAAAGTATTTTTTAAAAGTTTTGGGACTTCCCTGGTGGTACAGTGGTTGAGAATCTGCCTGGCAATGCAGGGGACATGGGTTCGATCCCTGGTCTGGGAAGATCCCACATGCCTCGGAGCAACTAAGCCCGTGCACTACAACTACTGAGCCTGTGCTCTAGAGCCTGCAAGCCACAACTACCGAGCCTGCATGCCACAACTACTGAAGGCCGCGTGCCTAGAGCCCATGCTCCACGACAAGAGAAGCCACCACAATGAGAAGCCCGTGCACAGCAGTGAAGAGTAGCCCCCGCTCGCCACAACTAGAGAAAGTCCGCACGCAGCAACGAAGACCCAACGCAGCCAAAAATAAATAGATAAATAAATAAAATTTCATAATCATCCTATGTGAAGGAAACCACTGCTGACATTTTGGTTTCTACAAATAATAATGATCTAAGGCCTCAGTGAAGATTTATGAATCACAGAGGAGGAGGGAGAGGCTTGCTGGGCCAGGGGAAGCTTGAGAAGGCTCCCCCAGGCAACTGTGGGATCAGCCCTGGGCCTTGGAGGATGACTTAGTGTGGGGAAGGGATTTCCAGTAAAGGCAAAGGCACATGCCGTGGAAGAGACTTTGGGGAATGGGTGAGGTTTGTGAAGTGAGAGGAAGGGTGATGAGGCTGGAGAGACAGGATGTAAATGGTCTTGAACGCCTAACTGAGGGATCTAGACTTCATCGCTTAGCTAGTCCAGGGACCAGAGAAGGCTTTTAAGAAAGGACGAATCATCTGATAGATGTTTTAGAAAGAGCTCTCTGCCTGTGAGGAGAGGGCATTAGAGGTAGACTCCAAATAGCTGAGTGAAGTTTGCAACCAGGGCTTAAGTGTCAGCATCTGTGACAGCCAGCAGGAGCAGAGATCTGACTGTCCTAGGATGAATTAGCTGACAGTATCTCGTGTGTTGTGAACCCCACCAAAGGGGCTTCTGTGAGCTTTGCAGGGTCCTTTCTAGCCTAGGAGGATGTCAGTAACACTGTCATCTCTCTGTCTCTCTTTAGGGCTACTCAGATCAAGACCTACTCCTGGGACAATGCGCAGGTCATCCTGGTGGGGAACAAGTGTGACATGGAGGAAGAGAGGGTTGTTCCCACCGAGAAGGGCCGGCTCCTTGCAGAGCAGCTGGGTATGTGCACGACACGTGTGTATGCACAGGAGTGGGGCAAATGGAGAGGACAAGTGTGTGTTTGTATTTGTGACATTAAGGATGTGCTGTGATTGTGAATTATGTGCATATGTCCTCTGTGTGTATTGTTTCATATTTGTGTGATGTACATATGGGCTTTGTGCTAGTGAATTCTAGGTATTCATTATTTATGATACATGTATATTTTGTTACATTGAATGTATAAATAATTTTTTATAGATTTATTTATTTTTGGCTGTGTTGTGTCTTCGTTGCTGCACACGGGCTTTCTCCAGTTGCGGTGAGCGGGGGCTACTCTTCGTTGCGGTGCTCAGGCTTCTTCTTGCGGTGGATTCTCTTGTTGTGGAGCATGAGCTCTAGGTGCATGGGCTTCAGTAGTTGTGGTGTGTGGACTCAGTAGTTGTGGCTCGCAGGCTCTAGAGTGCAGGCTCAATAGTTGTGGCGCACGGGCTTAGTTGCTCTGCAGCATGTGAGATCTTCCCAGACCAGGGATCGAACCCATGTCCCCTGCATTGGCAGGCGGATTCTTAACCACTGTGCCACCAGGGAGGTCCTTGAATGTATAAATAAAATGTAAATGTATGAAATCCTTTTTTTAACCAGCTCCTTCCACAAAGGATTTGAGGTATCCTATAAAAATCATCATAGTATCAATACATCAATAAAAAAATAAGTGAGACAATTGAAGCAAAGGGAAAGCAAGTGTAGGAGAACATAAGAGGAGGCCAGGGGTGAGATAAGTATATATTTTATAAGTTTTGGGGCATGTGCAAGAGTTGGGCCAAAATATTTGCTTTGAGCTTCCCAGCAACCATTGCAAAAAGGGAAACATAATCAGTTACATGGTTCAGAGATGGTCCTTAAGATGAAAACAAACCCATTATTCCAGAGAAACACTGCTCTCCACTGGCAACTGTAGAGCAGACTCTATATGCTGAATGCGACAACGTCCTTAATATCAAACATGCCTTACAGCAACTACAACACTGAACATCGTAGGCTGTGTCTTACAATTTCTCCCAGTGTAAACTGACGCTTTGTCACCAAAATACAATTCACGGCGAAAGTAATTGTATGAGGGATGAGACAATGTGGTTTAAGCATGCAGCTTTTCCCAGGGTTAAAGCACCTTGATCCTTGTGCTCCACTGAGACCTAGGTGCCTCAGGTGTGTCTCAGTGACTGCACAGCGGGACACCTACCTACACTTGCTTAAAAGAGCAGCCTTTCTTTTCTTCCTTTTTTTCTTTTCTTTTCTGTATCGGGGTTCAATGTGGGATCACCTTAGGGAAGTCTTCTTCTAGAAGAATGAAGTAATGCTTAGCTTTTAGCCAGTCTCCCTAAGTATTTCTTACAGCCTAGGTGCTGTAAGTATTGAGGAATAGGGAGTTTAAAGTTATATTCTCTGCCAGTTTCTGAAGTACAGATATTTGGGCTGGTAGGTGGGAAAATTGTATAATATACAAGTGTGAGTTGTGTCATATATATTTGTGTTATGTGTATTATGAGTAGATGTATAGGAGAGTGTCCTATACTTCTTTCTTCCCTCTCCTGTTCTCCAGTGTGTCCTGGAATAGAAATTAACACACTGTAGATGCTTAATAAATACGGAGGCTGGGCCATTTGGCTCTTGATGGTTCTTACCCCATCACAGAGGTTCTCAGGGTCCAGAATGTGCCTCTACCCATTCCCATAGTTCACAGAACAGTGAGCATGTGGCAAAGCCCTCACATGGGTGACCTCAGGCTATCTCTTTATGTCTTCAGCCTGCTGTCCCTGAGACTCCCAGCGCTGTCCCTGGTTCAACGATGTACCATCTGTTTGGAAGGCTCTTTTCTACTCCCCATCCCCTACTTTTATCCAGCTGTTGAAAGCCCAGTCAGCTTTCAGAACATCTTCAGTGCTCTGAAGCCTCTTCCGTATTCCCCCAGCCCTTTTCTTTGTGCCCCCACTTAGTGTACCCCATACATGCAACAGGCACAGTACCCATCACACTTGGGTGCACTTGTTTCCATATTTGTGTCCAGAAAGCTCCATGACGACAGGAAATGAGTCTTGTTTATCTTTATACCCACCGTGCCTGGCAAATGGCCTGGCAGTGAGTAAACACTGCAAGACTATGTTTTGATTAACATTTTATGGAGTCAAGTATTTGGCTACTTCATTTTACTTCCTTCTAATTACGACTTCCTGAGCTCCTACTCCATGCCAAGTACTGTGCTGTGAAATAGGCTATGTTCCCTGGTCTGAGACAGAAATAGTGATCCACCTGGTGATCAATGTTGTGATAGAGGGATGTGCCGGGGTTGTGGGAGCAGTTGGGGTCAGAGAACATGACGCCCACTCTGAGTCTTGAAGACAAGTAGGAGCAGCCAAGTGAGAAAGAAAGGCAAGGACGTTCCAGGCGGGGGAATAACACTGGCAAAGGCAAGGAACAGCACTCTGTGTTTAGGGAACCATAAATCATTGGATTGTGTGAGTCTAGAGTAGTGCTTCTCCAAGCGGGAGACTCATGTCACTGGAAGTGTGCAAGATAATTTTATGTATATATTTTGGTGTGTATTAGAAAAAATATATAATCAGCATGTCAAGCCCTTAATGTTAAACAAGACTAAGTTTTTAAAAGGTGAGTTAATTTTATATTCGGAAAAAATGTAGCCAGCATGCCAGACCCTTATGACTAGCATTTTAAAAAGGTGTGTTAGTTAAACATTTATTAGGTGTTTACCATGTGCCGGACTCTATTCTAAGTGTTTAAAGTATTACTCATTTAACTTAATCCCCCTAGAACCCTCTGAGATAGGTACTTTTCTTATATCCAGTTGTTCTTTTAACAGATGAGAAAACTGAGGCACAGAGAAGTTGAGTAACTTGCTTAAGGTCACACAGCTAGTAACAAGTAGAGTCAGAATTTGAATTCAAGCAGTAGTCTGGCTCCAGAGCCTGTGCTTCTAACCATTTAACCTCACTATACAGCAAATATCGTAATGATGGCTGGCATTATATGAAATGCTTTGTGTTAATTATCTCATTTAATTCTCACTATAAGTCTTCAAGGTAGGTCATGTTCAATACTCTGAAAAATTAGGCTCTTGCTCAAGATTACACAATTAGGAAGTGGTAGAGCCAATAAAGATCTATCTAATTTACGTAGGAAAACAGATGGAAGTGAGATTAATTCTTACTACAGGGTTTAGGAAGGTACTTAAAGAGGGCCTTAATGAATTGGTTAGATTTGGGGAGGTCAACTTGCCTATTTACATGTCTGTCTCTCTTGGTAGACCTCAGCAGTAGCAGGGGTTACATCTAAAATTTTTTTTCATTATCCCAGCCACCCAGAACAGGATAGATACTCATTCACTCGTACATTTGTTTATTGAAAAATATTTATTGAGCACATACTCTGAGCCAGGTTTTATCTTGGCAGTTAGCTGTGATTCTTACTGTCACGGAACTAATGGGGGAAAGAGACACTAAACAAATTATTATACAAACAAATATATAATTAAAAATTGTGTAAATGGGTGAATTGTATGATATGTGAATTATATCTCAATAAAGCTGTTAAAAATTGTGGTAAGTTCTATTTGACTTAGGACTCTCATTATGGCAAGTGATAAAATCCCAAATTAAACAAGCTTTAATTTAAAAAATAGAATTTATTAGCTTATGAGTGCAACTTAATTGCGCTATTTCTTAGCTTTGTGTATGCCTTCAGCCTCTTTCTATAGTCAGACTCTGAATGGGGAGTAAGATGGATGATGGCAGCTCCAGATTCATATCTTCCAACTTCTGCAAAAAGAGGATTCTTGCTCCCAACTACCTTATGTCAATCTCAGGGAAGACTGTGATTGGCTACCTGTGAGTCACATGCCTGTCCCAGTGGCTGGGGGAGGCAAGTATTGTAACCTATAGTCCCACCACAGTTGTTTAAAGTAGAAGTTCCATAAAGGAAGGAATGGTGGACAGATAAGAGTAACATAAGTCCACTGCAAGTGCTATTAAGAAAGCAAAAAAGAGAGAAACCTAATTTTAGACTGAAGAGTCAAGATCTTCTGAGAAAGTAACGCTTAAGCTGAGAACTAAAGGATCAGAAAAAAATTAGGCAAAGATTGAGGGTGGGTCGGGGAGGGGAGTGTTCTACATCAAGACCAGCCCTAACGTAGTTTGGAGCTGAAAACGCTCATGAGATTTGAAAGACCATGTTGCAGGGACTAACTAGTCAAGGGGAGAGTAGTGGGAGATGAGGGTGGAGAAGTGGGCAGGGGCCAGATCATGCAGGATCTTGCAGACCATGTCAAGAATTTCGCAAGGATGTGACCATATCTGCGAGCAGTGAGAGAGGATACTCAGCCTTCCTCATCCTCACCCTCTGCTACACCAACTATTAAGTAAGTCTCAGTGATCCGCTTGCCAGTGCAGTAGGGCCATCCTCTGCTTTATGGGATTCCTCTTCAGGACTCCCTTTTTTTTAGTGTTTCTCAGCTCTCTCAGCCAGAACTACTGACATGGCCAGCAACTAACATTTATTAAAGCTTTGAGTAGCAGCAGGTCTTCTATATCCTCAAAGTTCCTGGGGCATGGGTGAAGCTGTAGAGACGCTGAGGCAAGTGGATCTTTGGGAGGGCAGAGAAGTTTCAGGGACTCCTATTCCAGGAAGCATGACATGTTAGGGCCTCTACCTCTTTGTGCGCTCGAAAAGGGGCTCCTTGTCTCTTCCTCGATCTGACTGGGAATGGGTCTAGACTAGAGCCCAGGGATGCTAGTAAAAGCGAAATGTGCTTCTGCCTACAAGGGCAGGAGAAACCTGTTCAAAATGTGGTTTTGAAACATACACATAAACACTCACTTAAGTGAAGTGTGGAGGGAAAAGTATCAGCCTAGGAGTTTGGAGACTGAGGGTTTTATCCTGCTTCTGCCACTAGTTTACTGTGTAACCTTGAGCATCTTATTTCCTGTTTCTGGGTCTCAATTTTGCCC